AAATATGTTTATAAACAATAAAGCAAAGAAATGCAAAAAAAAAAAAAAAAGACTATACAACCCAAGTTGGCAGAGAAGCAGATGAAAATAAAGCTTTCATTCTTTAAGAAAAACCAGCCTGAAAAAGATGATATATTCTTCTTTGCATAACCAGTCAGTGCAAGGTAATCATGGATGAGGTTTAACTAGTTTCTGGCAGAACTGGAGAAGGAAAATTCAAGCTTTTAGAAATGCAAAGAATGGGGGAGGCAAGGAAACATAATGCTCGAGATCCTACATTAGGGTCACATAGTGTGGATCTCCACCAGCAGAATTATGTAGTGATTTACTTTGCATTTCAGTATGGCTACATTTCTCGTTCATGCATTGTCAAAAACTAAGCCTCAGTGAATAAAACAACTGCAAATAGAACAATAAAAAACCCAACAGTAAATTGAACAATGGAGTCCATGTTGTTTATATTTGAAAAAACTCTGCTGATGGTTTGTTTGAGTGCCTGGCTTTAGAGATAAACAATCTTCATGTTTCAGATGCTAAGCTAACTGGAAAGTTACTCTTGCACATGAGCACTTTGTATTCCCATAGGTGACTTAGTTGTTTTCAAAAAACGATAAGAGTTGTGAGCTCAGGGCTCCCCTCTGTCTGCCAAGGTGTGAGCCTGAAATGCATTTAATATGAGAGTAGATTCTTTGATTCATCAGCACTGGCCTCTGTGTAAATTCCAAGGTAGCAACAGGGATAGCAACAGCCAAATGTTTGTGCACTTTTGCACATCACAATGATAGCGCAAGCACAACTTTGCTTTTCTGCAACCTGGAAGAAAATGTCTAACCACACCCATATGGGAATTTAGGTATTTGTAAGCCAGGCTGGTGTAGTGTTTTGAGTGTTGGACTATGACTCTGGAGGCCAGGGTTCGATTCCCCGCTTGGCCATAAAGCCCACTGGGTGACCTTGGGCAAGTCACACTCTCTCAGCCTCAGAGGATGGCAAAGGAAACCCTCTATGAAGCAACTTGCCAAGAAAACCCTGTGATAGGTTTGCCTTAGTGTGGTCACAAGTCAAAAATGACTTGGAGGCACACGCCATCACCATCACCATCACCATCACCATCATCATCATCATCATGATCACAGGATTCTAGCCTACAAGTCACATGATGCCCACTTCAGGTTGAATAGCTATTGACTTTGTGTCCTTCTTGTGGGCTTCCAGATGCATCAGATTGGCCTGTGGAAAACAGGGGTCTGCCTACACAGAGCATTTGCATCAGTTTCCCTCAACCCTTGCATTGCCCTATCCACATAGGGCAGGGCCAAAGGTCCGATTCAAGTGCAGACTGTCTGAAGGGCAGCCAGTCCCACAGCAAATCCGTAAATCAAATTTTAAAAGTTCAGCGTTTGCTCCCAGAAAATCCAGAGCATTCCAGAGTGACATCAGTTGTTTCCATAACACCCCACTGTGCCACCTGGCACTGCCAACACTGGCAAGTTGTGCCTGCTGAGATCACAATGAGATACCCAGACATGTGATTGATGCTGGGTGCATGTTTCTGATCTCATAGGGAGTGTCACACAGTGGCAGTGGCAGCACTGGTTGGCACAGAGAGATAGATGCATGTGTAGACAGCCACTCAACATTGCTCTGGAGTGCTCAGGTAATGGGGAATGTTGGGGCAATTTTGGAGCCAGAACACTCTGGGACAACCCAGAGTATTCTAAGCAGTGTAGAGCAATCTCAAGATGCTGGACTAAATAGGCCATTGGCTGAACTAGAAGGAGTCTCTCTATGTACAGCCCTGCTTGCCCTGTATTGAAGAAGATCTTTGATGGAGCACTTGTTGTTAATTGCCCTCCAGTCGATCTTGACTCATGGTGACCCTATGGATGAGACATCTCCAAGACACTCTGTCTTCCACTGCTCTGCTTAATTCCTGCAACCCCTTAATACCCGTGACCTCCTTCTGGCATGTGGCCTTTCTCTCTTCCTACCTTCCTTCACCTTTCCTAGCATTATTGTTTTTTCCAAAGAGTTCTCTCTTCTTATGATGTGTCTGAAGTACGACAGTCTCAGTTTGGTTATCTTGCTTTCCAGGGAGGTTTCCAGCTTCACTTGCTCTAGGACCCACTTGTTTGTCCTTTTGGCTGTCCATGATCCCATGGACAGCACTCTTCTCCAGCACCACATCTCAAATGAATTGATTATCTTCCTATCATCTTTCTCAACTGTCCAGTTGTCACATACATGATAATAGGGAATACAACGGCTTGTATGATTCTGATTTTTGTGCTGAGTTGTGTATCTTTGCATTTCAGAATCTTTTCTAGTTCTTTCATAGCTACCCTCCCCATTCTTAATCTTCTTCTCTTTTCCTGACTGCAGTCCCCATTTCTATCAATGTTTGATCCCAGGTTTGGGAATTCTTTTACTATTTCTATTTCTTCATTGTCAACTGTGTGTCAGCTACCCAGTGCAGGCCACACCACCACACACCCCCTAGTGATGCCGCTGGTGGGAGCTGGTTTCTCTGTGTTACATAAATCCTCTCTTTTTTTCCATTCTCATGCCTGAGAATCCTATTGAGGAGTAGCCACATTGACTATAGACCAAAGTGCAATATCCAAAATCCACAAAACAGTGATACCTTTATTGGAACAACCAAAATGCATTAAATACATGTCACATGTTTGATGCTCCACTGACTTCTTCATCAGGCTGCCACCACTATTTTCCCACTCAGCCATTCAAAAATTCTAGAAGTGGTGCCATGGTGGAGAGAATAGAGGGAGTTAGTGCTTCTTTTCGATTCTACTAAAATTTCACCTTTTGGCACAATATTAAGACAAGGGGGTCCTTGTTTTGATAAGATTTATGGTACAGTACTTACAGTGATCTGTGGATAAGTCAGCCCAGGTTTTTTTGGGTTGATTTTTTTGACTAAAATTTCTAGACTTATATGTGAGTATAAACAGTACTTATCCATGTCTTCAGTATACCCACTTTATTCACTGGGATTGCAGAAACAACTGCAGTGCATTCTGCACAATGTTTATAACTAGGAGAAGTGTGGTATAATGCAACCACTGTATGATTTATAGATTTATGTTTTGCAAGCACATTAAAGGATCTTGGCCAAGAAATAGAAGTTGAATGAGTTCATGACAGAAATGTGATGTGGACCAAGGATGTCCCAGTTTATAGCTCATCCTATAAGCCACTGCATTATATCATCAAAACCTTGGATGCATTTTGCAAATATTTAAAAATAGGCTTTTAAGAAAATAGGCTTCTCAAATTGGCTTCTAAGACTTCTGATTTTCCCACTTTTCAAGTGCACACAGTTGAAGACTGACAAATTATACTGAGGTAAGATCATCCACTTGTAATTTTTTCAGTTTTCCAGACACTCATAAAATGTGTCTTGAACTATAAAGCAAACAGACAAGACATTCAGTCAGCATTTTTTTGCAACAACATGTTTAAACTTTTTAAAAAACACTTTCATTATATATAATGTGGGCAATCTTTTTTTTAAACTTGTTAGTTGTTTGGGATACTGTATAATTTTGTATTTTAAAAAAAGCAACTACAAATATATAGAGGGAGAAATAGGACCTGTAAAAAAATGTTGTAGCTCCTTTTTCTCCCCAAATGGAGGAAATATTTTACTCAGCCAGTGATACTGCACTTGGCGGTTCAGTCATTGTTTTTTTTTTTTAAGTGCAATGATGTGAATCATCTCACTCACATATTCTGGGTTTGTTATTCACACTATGGAACCTCATTGATGCACATCTCTGCAAGTTCAACTGCTCACACATGCAAGCATTCAATAAAACAAAGAATCATAGAGTTGGAAGAGACCTCAAGGGCCATCCAGTCCAACCCCCTGCCATGCAGGAATTCACAATCAAAGCAACCCTGAGAAATGCCCATCCAGCCTCTGTTTAGAGACCTCCAAGGAAGGAATGCATTCAGAACGCATTCAAGAAATGCAGCATTTTAACTCAGGTCTATTTGGGTCTGTTCACATAGTTATTCACACTACCGACGATGTGGATCTTTCTAAAAAACTTGGGGAAAACCCCAATATCGATTATCCCGGAATAACTGGGGTTTTTGGCAGGCCCCCCCCCCAATGTAATGAGGTGCATTAGGGATATGTGTGAACAACGGAGATTCAACCCAGATTCATCTTGGATTATTTTTACAGTGGAGAGCAGAGAAGCAATAGGGTTAAACAGCAGCCTGGATGTCAAGAAGCTGAGGAATCAGCCAGTAGCTGGGAAAACCAAAGGTGTATCTACACTATAGAAATAATAGAGCTCGACACCACTTTAGGTGCTGTAGTGCCATCCTCTGAAATCATGGGATTTGTAGTTTTTCAAGGTCTTCAGCCTTCTCTGCCAGAGTGTTGCTGCCTCACCAAAGTACAAATTTTGTTGGATGGAGTCGTGGTAGTTAAAATGGTGTCAAGCAGCATTATTTCTACAGTGTAGATGCAGCCCAAGACATACAGACTATTAGTCCCTGTGCATAGATGCTCAGCATTCTCTTGGCTGTTGAACACAGCTCATGGTGGCTGGGAGATCCAGTGTAGATGGAGTGGTGAAAGTACTTCAGTTTTTAATCTAAATTTTAAAAGCCTTGTTCCCAAAATAGGTTCAGGATAGCAAAGATTTTATAATGTCCTTTGAAGGGGGACATCGCCTGAGGCAGAAAATTGGACCCTGGATCTGCTGCAATTACCCACCTCAACTTTAGAGGCAATAAATGTTCTCCCATCTGGGCCCAATTCAAAGTGCTGGTTATGACCCAGAAAGCCCTCATGGAATCATAGAATCATACAGCTGGAAGAGACCACAAGGGCCATCCAGTCCAACCCCTTGCCATGCAGGAACTCCCAATCAAAGCATCCCTAACAGAGGGCTGCCCAGCTTCTGTTAAAAGACCTCCAATGAAGAAGAGTTCACCACACTCCAAGGGATTGTGTTCCATTGTTGAACAGTTCTTACTGTTGGGAGGTTCCTCCTAATGTTGAGGTGGAATCTCTTTCTGTAGTTTGAGTCTGTTTCTCCATGTCCTAAGCCTCTGGAGCAGCAGAAACAAGCTTGCTCCATGCTCAATATGATATCTCTTCAAATATTTAAACAGGGCTATCATATCATCAGTTAGCCTTCTTTTCTCCAGTCTAAATATACCCAGCTCCCTAAGTCACTCCTCATAGGGCATGGTTTCCAGACCCTTCACCATTTTGGTGGCAGGCAAAGACTTCCATCAACAGGCAAAGATTTCTCTGTCAACACCCCAAGACTCACTGCTGCTCTGCGACAGCCCTCCCCATAACCATTGTGTTGTTGCTAGTGTGTGGGGAGGATCAGAAAAGATGACACCCCCTAGTCAGACCTGGATTAATGGCATCTTCTAACAAGGCCTGCTGAAGTCCTCCAGAAGTCTCAGTGGATGTCATCATTCTGCATAAGACTATGGGGACATAGCTAGATGATTCTAAGCCCCACAACTCTCCACCAGCCATGGAAGGACTGGGGTGGGAGCCTGTAGGAGCTGAAGAGTATATCCAGAAGGTGCTTGGGACGTTGTGGAGGGAGGAATTGAATAGCAATATCTGCAACAACAGAAAGAAATACTCAAGTGTAAGGTGGATGTATGCTTGCCTATGTTGCTGACAGAGTGCGGATCATGTTGTGTAACCACAAAGGACATTTGGGTTGGAAAGGTCTGCTTGAACCTTGCCTGTTTTCCCTCAACGTAGTAGCATTTCTGGCTTCCCTGGGAGGTGGCCCTATTCTGATGTCCCCTACCAAGAAATACACTATGTCAACAGAATGGGACACAATGAGCCACCAACTAGATTAGAATGGCTAAGTGAAAAATAATGAGGCTGAGGACAATGTCCATGAGTGAAAGGATTAT